ATAGGTACCAACGGAATTGTTAGATTTTTTATTACTCGGTAGGTCCAGTGTAGTATGTTTTACTTTCGTTTCGGCTACGTTATTGATTTTGAAATTACCAGAATTGTTACTGTGGCAATTTTTCTCGCCCCATAATTTCAAAGCAAAGCGCCCTATCAGAAATCATCAAGGGACAAAATATCCTCAAAAAAGTCCAAGGAATAGTCCCTTAATTTTCAGCCGCGTGTTCAAAAAACACCCTGTATTATATGTATTTGATACAACAAGTCGGCTTCAGTATGATTGAAGTAGTTTCACTAACATCTGATAAGTACTCAGAGGATAGCTCACAGTGTCATCAGCAGTGTCAGTACTGGACATCTTGGAAAACAATTTTAAACAATATACTATAACGCACGCCACACAAACACGCAAACGACTGATTACAACCCTGTGCTGGTACCAGACTCGAACCAAGAAGGCGAATTCACCAATGAACGCTGCCCTTTCCATCTGACACCGGGCGATCAAGTGAACATCACGCTTCGGTTTTGTTTTGTTTTACTCTATCTTGGATTTGGATAGACTTTAGATAGATAGACATTAGATAGACATTTATTGATCATACACCGATTCACATTGGATTGATAAGTCAAAAACAGAACAATGTTGAAATAATAAAACACTTTGAAGACATTTTCAAAACAAGCAACACTGAAAGTAGGTAATACACAGTACACTGTTCATTGACAGTTCGAAATGAATTCTGAAATAGATAGATAGACATATTTTATTTAAACTACATTCCAAACAGGTTTACACCCGATTATATGTATACAGTCAATGTCATGGTATAGTCTATCCATTCCCGATTGGAACGGCAATAAAAATAAGAGCACTACGAGGGGTGATCATAATCACTGCCTGGCAAACGGGAAATGTATATACTAGCAGTGCTTCTATGTTCAAAGCGTCCCTGGTACAGTCATAAACATTTCTGGCCTGTGGCCCCCAGTCGCCCAGATAGTTAGTAAACGTGATATCTAATGGAGTTGAGAAATAAAGGCTCGGCTAGCTGGACTGGCTGAATACTAATTTTTTGCCCGTTTCACAATATTTCTTCATCAGTGCCGTGGGGTTAGGTGAGGTAGTGAGTGGTTTTGCAAACCGATTTTTGAAAACTTTTTCTAGAGATCAATCACCCTAACACCAAACTGATATTTTTGTCAGATTTGACACCTTTGAACTTTTTTTATGGGGCTATTTGAAGCAAAAGGTGTATGAAACTGAACCTGCTTCAATATTGGATATACGTCAGAGAATAATATATATTTGTAGATATATAAACGTTACTGTGTTCGAAAATGTTTGGCATGAAATATCGGATAGGCTGTTCATATCTAGTTACCTTAAATTCGTGCCAAAAAACTGGAATTTTATGGGATAAGATGTCCTGCACTTTCTTTTATTCGTTCATATTTGACCGGTAGAAAACAATATGTATCTTCAAAGAGCGGCAAATGGGACATACAGGAAAATCCACATGGTGTCCCACAAGAATCTGTTTTGGGACCACTCTTATTCATCATATATATTAATGACCTTTTCTTTTACATGTACCCTTATGATATGGTGTCATATGCGGATGATGCTACCTATTTCTCATCCCAAAAAAATATTGAGTCTCCATATGGTACAATTATAATAAGCTCAAATTAAATAGACTGAAAATTCAAACCATTATCGTCTCCAGTCAAAATAATATACAAACTGGAAGTTCTGTAAATCTTTCGGGAATCCAACTAGACGACTCGTTAAATTGGTCCACTCATAACGAGAATATATGTAAAAAGATATTGTCCCATATATTTCTTCTTAGGCAGATGAAACCGATTTGTAACGAAGATGTTCTACTTAACATTTACTATTCTCTGATTCATAGTAGAATTTCTTATGGCATTATTTTATGAGGTAATTTCAGTTCAGCAATACATGTTTTTCGTTTACAAAAAAAGCATTGAGAATCATTGCAAATGCTCCAGCATTTGACCACTGCCAACCGTTGTTCATGAAATATAATATCATGCCTTTGCCATCTTTATATATATTTCATTGTATATTGGAGATACATAAAAACAACCAAAATTATGAAACACTCTCTAATAACCATGAATGTAACACCAGATCTGGCGACTTATTGAAAATACCAAAATTTCGTTTGACAACATCTAAAATGTTGTTTTCTATAAAATGTTGAATATAACATCCACTTCTTATGCGAAAAACTATATTATTTCTGAACGCACATCATAACCTCAAATTCAATAATGAAAATGCATTTCAACTTCAATTGTGGCTTATAAATCCGATGACCATAATTTTCTTGGTAAGGAATATATGCGGTATTTATTTTTTATTACCAGACAAAGATTTTTTTGTTTTTATCCTCAAATTTTACGATTTTGAATCAGTACATGTGTGTGAGTTTTTTTTTGAAAATATTTTTGAACCTCCAAGCATTTTTGTAGTGGAGTATATTTTTGAATTTTGTCAGCAATAGCAATTTATTACATCAACAATTTTTCTCTAATATGTTTGCTGTACATGGTCCTTCAGTTGTACGAAGTGAGTACTATTTTGTCTTTGTTTTGTGGTAGTAGTACTTATAGGCATTTTCTTAGACGGTTTTGTGCTTTTTTGGTAAATGAACATTACTGTCATCACATTATGGAAATTGGAATGCTCATTTGTCAACGAGTTTTATTGATAAAGCAGCTGTGGAAGTACATATTTTTGTGGTGAACCAGTAGCTAGATTTTTTTTACCTAGGTTTTACTAAATTGTCCTTTTCCTGTTTTCGAAGAGGGATGAGGTAACTATATGACGATTTTTCGTGTGTTGGTATTCAAATGTTTCAGGTTTTCCATTGGTTTTTTACAAAAACACAATTAAAAAATTGAACAAACGTGTGATGTGCTTGCATGAAACAATTATATAGCAGTACCATTCATTGATTTTGTTTTTCTCTTGGTACAGTACCTGGAGATCCGCAAGACGTTAAAGTGACTCCTATAAATTCTACGACAATCAAGGTCAATTGGAAACCCCCGCTAGCCAGGGATCGTAATGTACTAGACGGTTTCTATTCATAAAATTGGTCATTAAGTAGGCAAACTGGCAATCCAAAAGACGTTCTCAACCAATTTATCAGCTTCAGTTCCTCTCAAATCGTCGACAAAGAAGTAACTGCTGTTTTTTTTTGAGTTATACCGTCCATCCGGTAATACTGAAAAAAGTAGGGTTATGAACCGTCATCCACGTTTCTGATTCCCGATTTCCATTACCCAATACCCTTGTATCTGTAACCGAACACCTCACTCACAGTAGGTGAAATGCACAATCGATATGGCACATTTATATCACATTTTTATTGTGTATGATGCTACACTTGCACAATTTTGAGTGTGGACGTGTGAGATTGTGGAGGTAATCACGATTTCCAAAACTGTCGGGCTTTCGGTGATCAAACGAAAGAACAAAATGGTGAAATATAAATTAACGATGGTGTTTTTGAAACTATCGATCAATTGAGAAATCTACCGAACTTTTTTGAATGAAATGTTTCGATGTACACCATCACTGGTCGTCACTAACTCATTTTTTGTGCAACACACCGGTAACCTCTTCAAATTTTAATGAACTACTTCAACAAAGCAAAGTTAGCAAAGTTTTCAATTCACCAAAACTACATCATTCAATCAACAAACGAGAATGTTACTGTAATCAACGTTTTATAGTGATTAGCAGTTGCTTTCACCACATTTCTGACGACAAAATAGTTATTAGTTTTTAGAATTGTTGAAGAAGCCTACAGTAAACATTTGGCATTTATAGGTCTCAATTACATTTGAATACCAATACTAATAATATGTAGTTTATGTAGAACGTTGGACACGTTGTTGTTTCAGCATGTTGCGATTTGAAAATGATGCCATCTAAAGTTGATATGCATAGGGAAAAGAGATCAGGTTTACTTCGGGTCGTTGCTGCATGCCTTCTTTATTCAAAAACTTGGTGAAACCTATTTATTCCTGTTCTCCTAAAGAGTATCAATTGTTTGCCCCATTCTTATGTGTTCAGAATCATTTTGAACGTTTTAATGAAATGTGGACAAAAACAACCTTCACAATAATATACCAGGCCAGCGTACGTGTTATTAACAAATTCCTGTTAGCAAATTGTAGGGGGCGCTCTATAATACTGTCTCATTTGATACTTGAAATGTATAAATTACAAGTTACAGTTTGTCAAGAATAGGCATGCGCGTGACGAAGAGCAAGAAAGCATTCTGAGGAACAAAGATGCACATATTTGCGATTAAAGTTGTCTCTGTTTATTGTAGATGTACAGTCCCCTGAATAAACTGTGAAACCTACGTACAAAGTCCCCACTCTTGGTCCTTCTCATTATTGAATTCAAAATAATTTTGGTCATCAGGAAATGAGGGCTATGAAGCTAACTTGTTTAATTATGGAATTAGTATTCTTTTGAGTTAGAAAATTATGAATAATGGTTGGGCCATCAATCGGAGAAATGTTTGGAATTAATAGTGATCCGGTCAATCTAGTCATAAATTTACGACAAGCTGCAAACGCGTGTAATTGATCAGAACATAGTTAAAAATAAGATTTTAAAATTCCGAATGATTGCGATGCCTGGAAAGAAATTTATTCGAGGGCAAAGGTCAAAAATCTCGACAAAAATTGGTTTTTCGTGATTTTCAGGAAAACGGTGAGTTTTATCATAAAATAACCTCTGATAAAAATTGTAGATCATAAAATTCTCTACAAAAAATGTATCGATGCTTTTTTTTCTTAGAGCCACCGTTTCTGAGATACGACGAGTCAAAAAGTTGTAAAAGTTGTAATCGTCATTATATTTATCACCAACAGGATTCAGTTTCTTCTTTCTATGTACAAAGCTCC